AGTGGGCAATGGGCAATAATGCACTCTGGGATACAGGAGGACCATAGCAGAGTGGGCAATGGGCAATAATGCACTCTGGGATACAGGAGGACCATAGCAGAGTGGGCAATGGGCAATAATGCACTCTGGGATAGGGAAGGACCATGGAGGAGTGGGCAATGGGCGATAATGCACTCTGGGATACAGGAGGACCATAGCAGAGTGGGCAATGGGCCATAGAACATAGAACATAGAACAGTACAGACACAGTACAGGGCCTTCAGCCCACAATGTTGTGCCGAACTTTTGCCCTAAACCTAAGGTCTACCTAACCTCCACCCCTACCTTATACTATCAGCCATATGCCTATCTAATAGCTGTATAAATGCCCCTAATGAGGCCGACTCCACTACCTTCTCCAGCAATGCATTCCACGCCCCGACCACTCTCTGAGTAAAGAAACTACCTCTGACGTCTCCCCTATATTTACCTCCACTCACTTTAAAACTATGCCCCCTCGTAATAGCTACCTCCACCCTAGGAAAATGTCTCTGGCTGTCCACTCTATCTATACCTCTGATCATTTTGTACACCTCTATCAAGTCACCTCTCATCCTTCGTCGTTCTAAAGAGAAAAGCCCTAGCTCTCTCAACCTTTCCTCGTAAGACCCTCCCTTCATTCCAGGCAATATCCTGGTAAATCTCCTCTGCACCTTTTCCAACGCTTCCACATCTTTCCTGTAATGAGGTGACCAGAACTGGACACAATACTCCAGATGTGGGCGAACCAGGCTTTTGCATAGCTGGAGCATAACTTCACAGCTCTTGAACTCGATCCCTCTATTAATGAAAGTTAACACACCATACGCCTTCTTAACAACTATATCCACCTGGGTGGCAGCTTTCAGGGAACTGTGAACATGAACCCCAAGATCCCTCTGCTCCTCCACACTGCCAAGAATCTTTCCGTTAACCCTAACCATTGCCACAGCTTTAAAAATCACGAATAGGGCCTCAGACATCATTGAATGTTTTTCGGGTGAACTACCAGGGTACAGCAATAACAGACTGTATCAGATGACAGAATCAATGTCAATATCCTTATAGACACCACTGTTTATGAATAATGCACCCTGGGATACAGGAGGACCATGGAGGAGTGGGCAATGGATGATAGTGCACACTGGGAT